GTTCAGACATTCAATTTGGCATGCAGTTCGTACCCCCATCATCCAAATTACACATTGCATGCCAACAAATCAAATCTTGTTCAATCTACTTATATACAAGCTACTTCTATGCAAGTTAACAGATACACATGCAAGTAGCTTGAACATTCAAGTAGCTGCAAGTGTACAAGCTACGAGCATGTGTATCTCCGGCTTAACTTATCACATGTATCAGGTACTTTGCACCGTAGCGTATTTTTATTTTTTGTTTTTCACGTAACTTCCACCCTGCACTGGGCCACGACTGAGCACCGGCTATGCCTATGATGTGCGCGTGCACCGCCGACGCGATGATGACTTAAAATATGATTCAGTTAAATAATGAATACGTGTGTGCATGTATCATATTGCGAGTTGTGTTGTGACTGGTGACGAAGTTGTAGCTACGAAATATATGGACAGTTCATCAGTAGTGACAAAGTGCCTACCCAGCTAGCACAAAAACATCCCATCTACGTTAATAAGGTGCAATTTTAGGCTCTTTAAGCTCACATGCGATGTACTTTTAATGTAACCCTAATATCCCTGAAACCACCGAATGTCCGCAACGGCAAGACTTTTATAGCACATCTCACAGAAGTTATAAAGTGAAGTTCGGAAAACATCACACTAGCACTTTTACGGTACTTACCCTGAAAGTTGCTCTGAAACTTTCTATAGATGTTATAATGTGAATTAGTTCTACAGCATTATATAGTGTATACTTGTGAAAATATTTATTTTAAACTAAAAAAGTAATTCTTCATAATTTCTTTTACTTGTTAAATAAATTCGATTCACATTAAGAAATTATGAAAAATACCTTTTTTTAATTTAAAATAAATATTTTTACAAGTATAATTAAGTCCATCCACACTATATTGTTCTTTGTGTAATGTAATACAGAGAGGCTGAAATTGAGGCATAGTAAAAACTCAATCGAGACATGGAAATTTCAAATAAAACAAAATATTTATATAAATTTATTATTAAAATGTTCTTGAAATCAAGTAGCAATATCACAAAAGTAGAGGTAGGTATATCACAAATGCAGTTACACATGTACGATAGTAGAAGCCACCTATAAAACACTGAACGATTGGACAAAATTTGCTTAATAATACAATAAGGTATCAATATTGCAAAGGTTCACTAGAAGCTTAAACAGTGAACGATTGTACAAAAGTATATTTATATAAGGTACGTTTCAAGATGACAATTGTATGATGCTAAAAAAACTAGATCTGTGAATAATAGATGATTGCAACAATGACTTAGGTATATATCATAAGAGATAGCTGAGGTTCCAGATTGCTTACCTGTACTCGCAGAGATATATCATCTTTTTAAAATCAAACCTTTTAACTTTTTTTTGTATAGATATTTATATATTTTTATTTTGTTAGTTTATTATTTATGCAAAGGTGAACAAAAATTATTTTATTCTAACTACATGTGGCTTGGAAATATTTTTATTTATCTATAATGTAACATAAGTATATGACAATTTATTAGAAGAGGATAAATTACATTTTTATATAAAATGATTTTACTTTTCCACAACATATTGAATAAAAAAGAGATTGACCTACTTGTTTAACTATTATTGAAGGAAATTATATAGAAAGTAAAAAAATATACTCAAGTTTAAATCGTTGCACTTATTTTTAGATAATTTTGTCTTACTTTGTTGTTTTAAATAAAACCTCTAATGTTAGTGCATTAATTTTTTTTAGAATTTCACAAATTGTATGCTTAATTATGGATTTCCAAGTTAGTATGAAGATTTTATAAAAAAACAACTCATGTTTTTTAGCAAGATATTCTGATGTTTGCTCCTGTGATTTTTCTCAAATTTTTTTCTAGTTTGGCACTTGCTTGAATCTGATGTTTTTTTTTTCAATATAGACGTACCATGTAGATTCAGTTTTTATAAAACTTCAGATGTCATATACCTATTCTTCTTTAGATAAGTCTGTAGTATTTATTTTGCTTCTAAAATTCTTAGAATGTACAAAGGAAATCTAAAATACAATATTTTTAAAATGAATTTTTAGTTCGATTAAGTATATTATTAACCAGAAGTTTGTTACATTCTTAGTAAAGTGGAATCACATATTGTGGATTTTGTTTCTTGTAAAAGAAGGGCCCCTAAATCTGTGATAAGTTCAACCTCTCCATGCTCCCCTAAAATCACATACCAATAGTGTTATTTTATTTTAGGCCTTTATTTATCATTTACTGTAATTATCTAATGAATAATTATGTATCTAATGACTTAGTGGGTCTTTTGTTGAACTGAAATATTACCTAAAACACATATGTTAGCGACATGCATAGGAATCTCAATTTATATAGCTATGATTCACTTGCAGTCCCTTGCTGAGGCTTTGGCGCCTCCAGAAGCCATCATCAGTTATTACCGGATCTTGAACGATCACCAGTTTGATTGCAGTAAGATTTATAACTTCTCAGCCACGTATTTCTCCAGATTTGGAAGTAGTGGCTCGTTTTGATTAATTCCTAAAATAAATATAAACTATAGCTGATAAACTTGAAAAATTAAACATGTAAACTCACCTGTGCACCTTCTAGTACTAAAAGGGGAAACATAAGATAAATTGTATCGTATCATTAATACCATCAACACATTAACAGCTTTAATAACCATTTGTAGGGGATTATAAACCACAGGGTAAATTGTGCATAAGCTAAAAGAGATATTATATCAAATCACAGTTAGATATACTTCACTCTCTCTGAATCATTAAATTTTAAGAGCCAGCTAGAGAAAAATGAATTACTGCCACCACTTACATCCTTAAATAGGCCAGTAACGTGGCAACTTAGTTTTGTATATCTCTTTCATAAGGTATTTCAATTATTTAGAGGTCCTCATTTTATAATTTCATAAACCAAGTCCTTCTATCTAGCTTCTGTCTAGATAGATAGATTCTGTCGAAAACTACAAAAATATGATCCAAATATTCCCGAACATTTTGATAAAACTTACAACAGGCATTGTAATCCAAAACGAAGAAAATGGTTCAGAAAATAGTTTTCTATTTTATAGAGGATCCTTACCACTTCTACTCAAATGTTTTTAATAATAATTATAAAAGAAATTCTGCAAATTAAAAAAAACAAACATGACATATGACAAGAAAAATTGGCAAGTGACAATTGACATAAACAGTTCTTGTTCTTTTTAGCAAATTACTTTATTACGTTGTGTTAACATAACAGGTAGGTTAACTAGGTAAATAACAAATAGAAGTTTTGCGAGGTTTTGATTTCCCTCAACAACTTCTCATGAACGTTGCATTTACGTTGTATAGTAATGTTATTACGTTCCCTTAATGCAACATCGCCGAAAGTCTTGGCAACGTTATGTGCTAGCTGGGTAGTAGCATAGTTCTTTTGTTAATTTGTTACCACTAGAATCATAAGTTCACGTAAATTAAGTGGAGCTCAACGAAGGAAATTTCTTAGGGAGGAGGAAGAGAAATCTAAAGAATTGTTGAAAAAAGTTCCAAAACTAGACAATTATTTTAAAATTGCACCCAAAACTAGTGAGACGAATGTAATACAGCCACATATGGAAGACGAAGAATATGACCATAATAATGTAATAACATCTTCATCTACATCAGAAACAGGAACGTGGTCGGAAAATTCAGATGAAAATGCGATTGTCGCTGTCATAAACAATGTGGTTACTGTTGGTGGTAAGTACAAAGGTACATTTAATAATTATGTTTTATACCTAAGTAATTATTATTTTTTGTTAGAACTGACGAAACTTGTGCCTTCTAATTACCACTCACAAGACCCAGGTGTGTGGGTGATTAATACTGAATTGGTAGAGTATATAGTGAAGAATCCTTTCGCTCAAAATTTGGAACAGATAGATTTTTGAACAGTCAAAAAGACTGTATCCCAATGAAAATCGCACTAGATACGCATCAAAGAAAATGCTTTTCGTGAAATTAGTTAATGGCGTGAATATCCGGATAGAATGGCTTTTATACTCTTCATCAACTAACAAAATGTACTGTTTGCAGTGTAAATTATTCGGATCAAACCTTTCATAATTCGTCAATAGATTTAATGATTGGAAGCATCTAGAAAGAATAGGGGAACACGAAAAATCTATAGAGCATCGAGAAAATACAAAAACGTATACATTACGTTCTACAGTACTCGGAAAAATAGATAGCAACCTCGAAAAACAATACTTAATAGAAAAAGAGTATTGGAGAAACCTTCTGAAAAGGATAATAACACCTATAAAATTTTTAGGTGAAGAGCAATGTGGAAATTATTTGACTACACTTGAATTAATTGCCAAATTTGATCCATTCCTAAAAACTTATTTCAAAAACATGCAAATAAGGGAAAAGGACATGCCTCCTACCTGTCAAAGACTGTTTGTAATGAATTTATAAAATTGTTGGCCAAATACACCAGAGAAAAATAACACAAGAAATAAAAAGTGCCAAGTATTATTCAATAAGCGTAGATTCAACACCTGATATTTCGCATACCAGGCCCTACTAGAGGGGGGGTAGCCGGGACTAATTCCCGGGGCCCGGGCTCAAATGGGGGCGACAATAGGGTTTTCTGTTTCCGCATGAGAAATTCGATATTCGATATAACAAGAGAAAGGGGAAGTGATGTGATGTGATTGAAAGTTGGAGAAAAAGTTTTAGGTAAGGGATTTATTTTTTTTTTTCGGTTAAGGACCTTTTTTTTTGTTTTTTTTTTTTTTTAGAAGAAGAAGTAATTCAGGTAGGAGAAAATTTATTTTCTTCGAGACGAGGACCTTTTTTTTTTTAGAAGATGAAAAGTTTTTCTCACAGGGCCCGATGTAGAGAATTGTCCCGGGGCCCGACCTGGCTCTCGGCGGCCCTGCATAAAATTTATTAGCAAGGTTAGGCATAAAGCTGAAGATATAAAAGTAGCAATTTTGAAAACATTTAATGAATTTACTCTACCTATCGAGGACTGGGTCAAATATGTCCGGCGAATATTCCGGCCTACAAGCTCGCATAAAAAAACACAATGCCAAAGCTCTATACATACTATGTGCAGCTCATTTTTTAAATCTGATAGGTTCTTGTGCTGCGGAAAGTTGTTTACAGGCAACAGAGTTTTTCATGTTATTAAATGAACTCTACTTTTTCTTCTCATCTTCCACTGCTAGATGGGATATTTTGAAACAAACTTTAAGTGAGTCTGAAAATGGAGACGGAGAAGCAAGAAACAATTTGCTCCCAAAAAAATTAAGTGCAACTCGATGGTCTGCAGGAGCGGACGCAACTAGAGCGCTCTATAGCTGTTATGATAGCTACCAAAATGCCCTTCAAAACTTAGTAGATGATCCAAATCAACCTCCGGTAACAAAGGTTCAAGCTACTGGTTTGCGGGCTGCAATAAGCAAACTGGAAACTGGAATTCTTTTAGAAGTGTGGAATAAGTTGCTACCGAAATTTGATAGTGTGAGCAAAACATTACAAAAACAGTCCACAGACGTTTCCTTAGTAACAAAACTCTACGATTCACTGATACTGTATGTAAGCAGCTTGCGAACCGATGAAACATTTGAAGAAATCGAACAAAATGCTAAAGATTTAACAAAATGTAATATATACAAACTTGAAGTGAACAGAATCCGAATAAGAAAGCAAGCTTTCGATGATAGTAAAGAAATTGAAACGAATTTTGATGAAAAACAAAATATGAAAATTAACACATTTTACGTTATATTAAATAATTTGTCATCAGAACGAATTCGAAGACAAATAGCCTATGAAAGGGTCTCAAACACGTTTGGATTTATGGGATCGTTATGTCATCTTTCAGACAATCAAATTTCAATAGAGGCAGCAAATTTATGGCAGAGGTATCAGTCTGAACTTGATAGAGATTTTGCAGAAGAATGTATTCAATTTAAATACTTTCTAAAAGCTTTGAAGGAAGAAAACAAAGAATAAAACTACAATATGGTTAAGATACTACAAGTTCTGAGAAGACTCAAAATAGTTGCAACATATCCAAATATCGACACTGCTTTAAATTTTTTTTTTTTGACAATACCAGCAACTAATGTTACCGGAGAGAGGTCGTTTTCAACACTACGTAGAGTCAAGAACTATTTAATAAATAGTTTATCTGATTCGAAAACCAGCAATTTAGCTTTATTGAGCATTGAGAGTGAACTTGTAGACTCTCTAGATGAAGACGATATTATATCGCTTTTTATTTCAAGCAAATTAAGAAAGGCACCATAATAAAAAGGAAATGGTTTTTGTTTTATTGATTTTTTATCTTGAAATGTTTGTAATGTTATTTTTTGTTATGTTAATATTCTTTCAAAATAATTGCACTGAATAATTGTTTTGATCATGTTTATACCTAATAATAGATTGAAAAATTAATTGTTGGGAAGGGGCGCTTTAAAAGTTTTGGCCCGGGGCGCCGCTGGTACTTAATCCGGCCCTGGGAAGACGAATCAGCAGAGCACATTCCTTGTACTTACTCCGTTTTTGAAAGAATTTGGTTCCAGATCTTCTGATTCACCCGACTGGAGCCTGCCTTCATCAAAAGATGTGGCAAGTTAGACTTGAACGACAATGTACAATAGTGGGAGGCGATGAGATCAGGGCAGATAAACATTTCGTTTAAAATGATATCTAGGTTAATTTTTTTTAATATTTTAGAGGCATTTTAGTTTAAAAACCTCCCTAAACCCGACATTAGACATTTTTTAAAAAAATTAATGTATTTACTTAATATTTTAACTACAGGGAATACTAAACTCAACATCTGGTAGTATGTACAATCACAAACAATAATGAATTTGTATTCGAATAACCATCATATTTCTATATACATATTTAAAAATAATGTGCCTTTGAAGACCTTGGTGCAAGCAGAGGACAAGTGACTATTTTTTCAAAATGAAGATATGTATTGCATGAGTTTCTACAAAGAAATATACATCATTTGGTGCAAGAACAGAACCAGTGTTTTCTTAAATAACGAAGTTATAAATACTTTTGACTCGTCGCCTTCACAAATTTGGTTCAAGAATGGGATAAGTCATAATAAATTAGCTTAGGCATTATTTATATGCAATTACAAGAAGAAAAAAAGAGAAAATAACAATATTTTTTTTAAATTTCTTTTTTCGCCTCTCCTATAAAATTTTAAAAAAGTGACTTCCCTTCTTGCACCAAGGTCTTCAATTATGTTCTCCCTGTGTCTTTAAAACATCCTATAACCTGTAATAATTACGAAAGATTGTCTATACACATAGTCTCAAATGTCGTAGCGAGAAAGCTCCTAATTAACTAGAATGAAGATTTAAAGGGTGTTTCCTAACCTCTCTGACAAAAGAAAGGAAGAGAATTTTCACCTAATTTTTAAACGAAAATGTGGTATAAAATTATTTAGAATGTCACTTCATTTTCTTAATACACGGTGTCAAAAAAATTAAATTTTTTGTTGTTTCCTCTTATTATTAATTAATGGCAAACGATATATACTTTACTTAAAATTAATCTTTACGTTAGATGAGATAAAAATATTCAATCCTAAACCGTATTATTTATTTTAGCGAAATTATGATACTCGTTACCCGGATCTCCGCCAGTGAACTAATTGAAAAGTTTAAAATGGACCCAAAGTAAAGTACTAAAACCCTTTTTTATGTATACTAAATATCACTGGAATATCGTTTGCCACTAATTAACAGGAACAAGAAAACGCATTAAATTTTATTTTTTTAACATCCAGTATTTCGAAAACGAAGCGACATTCTAAAAAATTGTGTACCACATTTTCGTCTTTGTCAGAGAGGATAGGAAACACCCTGTATAATGCTTGGCATTCTTTATTATACTCTTCACAGTTTAAAAGGCCCCCTTAACCCCCACAATAGGCGTGTCTTCCCCTTACAGCGTTTAATTTTTACTAAAAATTTCATGTTGATATCGATTTTCGTATTTTAAATTTTAATCCCTCTTTGTCCCCATTTTTATTCAGATTTTTTTCAAAATTAATAATCTCCCTCCCCTTATGATTGATTGATTGATTTTTGGTAAAAATTTCAAATTGATATAATTTTTTGTTTTTCAATATTTAAATCCCCCTTAATCCTCCATTTTTATACATATTGTTTCCAGATTCAATAAGCCACATCCCCTAATAGAGCTTGATTTTTGCAAAAAAAATTTGTTTAAATGATTTTTTTAAATTTCAACCCTTCCCCCGTTAAATCTCCCATTTTTATTCATAGGCTTCGTCCTCTTGTCCTCTTATAGAGCTTGATTTTTCCTGAAAAGTCGATATCGTTTTTCGTTTTTATTTATGATTTTTTTTTGTAATTTTAACACTCCTTAACCCCTACTTTTTAATTGGATTTTTTCAAATAAATAGTCTTCGTCCCCTTATAGAGTTTGATTTTTCCTAACAATTTCAAGTCGATATCAGTTTTCGCTTTTGACTTATCGTGCGGACAAAAAACGTGACATCTGAGGGACAGACGGACCGACATTTTTAAAAGTTGTTTAAAATTTAATGAGAATTTTGGTAAAATCAATATTAAAAAAATTTCGTTACTCGAAAGAAAACCTATACCTAATACGCTTTACTACTGTGTGAAGAGTACAATAACCACATAAAAAATGTGGTATTTGGAGTTTTAAATATTCTTCTCAATATCATATGATTGTGTAATATTTGTTAATATTTTATTCCTAAAATATCTTATCTTTTTTTTCAATTATTTGTATGTATCCATCTGCAGATAAATAATCTAACGTAATAATTATTGTGAGTTTAAAAAAATTCGGTATATTTTATCAAAAATTTATATTGCCATCATATTTATACATAAATCTATTATATTTCGACATCTCTCTTATCTTATAGATTATAAGCAATGTTTGTTCGAATCCACACATGTTACCTACAATCTTTACATTAATCATATTATGGCATATTGATTTATTTGAAAAAGTTTGCAATGCCATATTTGTTTGATTTTTATAAATTTTTAAAGATACATATTAGCTAAAGAGAAGAAGTGGTAGCCCTTATTATAAACAGTTGTCGAAAGCGGCACCGGACATTTCTCCTCTAAAATCAATGAAGATTTTCTCTACGACGTCACTACTTTTTTATTCCCTTACTCTTAATATACCAAACACATCTAAAGTGTAATAAAAACATTATTAAAGCAGTTGGAACCATTGTTAGCTGAGATAACCTAATTCCCGGCCACCATGGAGTACTTCAGGGAAGCGTATTAGGACCGATTCTCTATTTGCTGATATACTAACAACGACACATACAATGAAGGGGACGTTTGCTGAGTGACAAAATTGAAAATTAGTATTAATGAAAACAAATCTAAATATGTAACTAAACACCTTTAAACAGTTTCTAAATACCTCAAACTGATTAAGTAAAATTTTCAAGAATGCACCTTGAAGCATAGCACCAAATATCATATTTTTATTTCGCAACACGTTGCGTGCATTAATTTTTGTGATTATCCATAATCCCGATATCAAAAGTTGTTTTAAATAGATTATATCATGACATCTTAATAATTTACAGTATAAAAGCATGGGAAAACATGAAAGCTTGCTTACTAGATCTTTATAGCATTAATGTACCCAATATGATTATCAGCTATTATTAGTCAAGTACTGTATGATCATGTATGTATTATTATTCTACTAAAACTATATAAAATTATTACACTGTGAGTGAGAAAACTGAGAATACATCCAAATCACCTTGGCATATATCTGCTGGAGAAGAAGAACGGCGCTTGAACGGATTTAAACCCCTGACTGGGTATGTCCAAGGTTACACAGAACTGATCAGTGATATACAGTTAGGGCCTATTTATACTCTCTTTTTATTAGTATTTGTATTCTATCTATCTGAATTAGGGCGTGGTTCAAAGCCCACTCGTACTGAAGCTCTAGGAATATGGTACCCCTCACAGTTTCTACCCCATCAGATTGATTTTCTTGATGAATTCAAGAATATGTCTGATGAGCGCTTTCGCGATTTCTTCAGGTTGCAGATATTGTACCCCGAAGTACCATTCCCGTTTCCATTTAAGGTTCCAACAGTGGCACAGTATGTGAATAGGACTTTCGTCCTCCTCTTAACATATTCTACATAGGAAGTTATCAGATGTCCCTAAGAGATTTAGGTGTCTTCTAAGGCCACAGTGTCCCGTAAAGAGTCCTATTATGGCTTGAGTTCGCTTCTGCTAAGGTTTAGCAGTTGATTTTGTCTGCTTGTGGATGGCCCCTCTATGATTCTTTTGGACTATCTAAGTCCAGGAAGTTCCAACAGAGCCTATAATGTTCTCTGTTTATTTGTTCCTTTGACACCCATTTAACATGTTGGTATGAGATACCACATGTGGGTTCTGGTCCAATTAGAGTTCTTTTCGCTCTTTTCCTTGCTAGGAGGTCTGCTTTCTCGTTTCCAAACACTCCCTCATGTCCCGGCACCCATTCAAGGGTAACCTTGTTATGTTCTGCCAGGGCCTGGAGGAACTGTTGGCCATCAAGTATTGTACTTCTATCCTTTTCAGTGCTTTAAGGGCTGCCTATCTGTCTGTCATGATAGAGACCCTCTTATCTCTAAAAGAGGCATTTAGCATAACTTTGGCGCAGGCATTTATTGCTGTTACTTCAGCCTGGAAGACTATTGTCAGTGACTCCAGGTTCAGACTTATAGTCCTTCGAACCTTCTTCCTTATTATTAGTATTTGTATTAGTATTATTATTCAGCATTAAATTGGACTAAATATTCAAAAAGGGTATTTATACTTGTTTTATAATAAGCATTGGTGCTTCTTTTTTAATACTCTTTTTACTAATAAGGTATAATTCTGTAGTCAACAAAATGTTGGTTACTGAAGAAATGTGTAAGAGGCCAGTTGTGTTTTTAGAATCAGTATGTCCCTAATCTCTGTTTAGAATATTAAAATATTTGAGTTTTAAACGTGTTTTTTTTATATTTTTACTAGTTAATTTTATTTAAAAATATTATTGATATTCAAAAATAGGTTTAATTAAGGACATTTTAACGGATTTAAGTCTCAAATTTATAACAGATAAGAAGAAGCAAAAATTTTGAGACAAATCAGACACAAAAGAGTCCTTTGCTTCCTCGCGGTGACATGTCATTTGTCAACTTTATACTCGGTAAACATTGCTGATACATAAAAATTGT